AGAAAGTGATAACCAATCGCAAACTGAAGAATCTTTGAAATCGATCTCTTTCGGCCATCGTTCGAACTCTGTACAGATAATAAAAACACCTCAGGTCACAACAACATTTGTTGGTTCAACGGGAAGATAGGAAGAAGCATTTGGTAGATTGGAACGAGCCAAAAAAAAAGATTTGGAAAAGTACATTGGTTTTTTCTCAACGGATGGATGAAGGAGGACAGTCATCTGATGCTAATGTGCGACCGAAATTCGTGCCGAATACAAAGCGAACGTTTTGGAGTAGTCGATTTTGGTATAACTTAGTTTATTACAAACGAAAGTTTAGATATCGTACGTCGACAACGGTTGTGAGTGCGATTGCGTTATACATTATTGGGTTAGTTTTGGAAATTATATGGAAAAAATTTAGGGATGCATTGAAGAGGTTTTGTTGAATATTCGTAATCAGCAAAACTTATGTAATTTACGTTGTTGAAGTGAAGCGAGTTCTTGAATTGAATTACGGATGATAGAATCTTTAAAATGGTGAAAGAACTTTTTTTTCTGCAGTTGAAGCGCCGCTATTTGCCCTTAGTGAGGTATATTTGGTAAACGCACATGAGCACAATTTGTTCGAAATTCGAAATTCTCGTTATCTTACAGCAAAAGAGATTAGGAAAAGATTGTGTCGAAAAACTGCATTCATCACAAGTATAAAGTATATATTGTAGAAACCTCAAATATATATTTAAAAATCTCAAATATATATTTGAAAAATATTCAAAAAACCTCAAATATATATTTGAAAAATATTCAAAAAACCTCAAATATAAAAAAAAACGAAACCTCAAATAGATCGTAAGCAGTTTTGAGAATACGCTTTCAGTTACAATGTGTTGGTGAGGCAATGGAAAGGTGCCGATCATCCGGTGAATCGTTTCAACTGGCGTTTGAAAGAGAAACGCGGTGAATTAGATGAGGATTTGTTGAGGAAGAAAGATGTTGTTACTAGATACTACCGCTCTCGAATNTTGATCTGTTTAGCGATAATAATTTTGTTACTTGTTTAGTGTTAAATTGATCCGTGCCAATTGTTATGGTTAGCTTTAGGGAGTATACTCTGTATAATACTGTTAGAATCATTGTGATTTTTGAATTTATCACTCCACTTACATATAATATTATAATTTGCCCAAAAACTGTTAGTATTGGGAAAAAAAGGATCTTTGGAATCCAAACACTCGTTCGTGAGTGTGGAGCCATGGATGTTGTTCGTAAATAATAATTTGATTGAAAGGGTGAATAACTTGTGAATTTTGCTCATTTAGAAATCGCTGATTATAATTTGGTTCAATTGATTATTGAGGACTCGTCAAGCCAGTCACTCGCATATGCTGAGAGATTATGGTTAATGAGGTATACTGGCCCAAGAGCCCAAATTTCTTGTTCTAGGCCGGTACTAGTATATGTTCCTCTAAAGAAACCGTTTGATGAATGGGTTCGTTAGGTCGTGATTTACGCTCAGAAATCCGTAGTCCTGGAAAAGAAACGGCTCAAATCATAGATACAGGACTGTGGATTCCAATTTTGAGAAATAACAATGTAACATTGTATTTGTTATTTGTTTGTTTTGTTTAGATGCAGTGAAATAAACTATTCCTTCAAACTTTCTCCAATTTTGTTTGAATTCATCGCCTAAATTCATTCAACCTTCAAACATGGATCACACTTTTGAATTCAAATCATTTGCTGAAACGACCATCCATCCAGTTTAATTGGCAAATCTTATTTCATGATAAGTGGAGAACGGCTTCAATTCTACTTGCTTGATGCATAATATTGATCAGTTGGGCTATCGAACAACGCTTGTGGTGGAGCTGGTTACGGGAAATGAGCCATTTTTTTGAACTGTTCGACTGAGTAGAGGCGATAAAATCTATTTTGTGGTTGTTGAAGCGATAAAATGAAATTAGCAAGGCAATAAATAATAAATTGATGTATTTGGTTACACACAAACAAACAATGAAACAAACAACACTGAATACGCGGACGTTAACTGATAAATAGTGAATGGGCAAATGTACGCAGTGATAATCATGAGAAAGAAACAATGAGAATGACTAAACAATTTGGTCCTGATCGACTAAATTGACTAAATTTATCGGCGCTTACATCGGATCATCAGTCTTTTCATGAAATCTTCAGCGTTTCAACGACCTCGTCTTGTAAATGAACTCAAGTTTAGACGTTCACCTATAGATTCAGAAGAATGTTTTCTCAGCACGCAATTAAAACTTAGCGAAATAGCAAATATATTTAATGAATTATTTCTAATCTTAACGCATACTCATTAGAACAATCGCACTGCAGATAATCACAGATTTTCGTGCAAAATCGATCACACTTTCACAATTCTGCACCCATTTCCAAAATATTTCCTTACAGTTTCCAGCATCAGCCTTGGATTGGTTTCGAAATTGAGCTCAAACTAAGCACAAGCTTCAACCTAGACTCAGATTTAAGTTTAAGCGTTTGCTGGACAATTTACAATAGGTTGTGCGTTTCTCCTCAAAATTTGGAAGGCCTTTCTTGAATTCTGAAAATTATGATTAGAATACCTTGAAAATAGGATATTTCGATACTAAATCTGCATAACAGATACTTTCAGTGGACAAGTGAATCATATAACTAAAGACATTCGAGCTGAGATTTGTTTTGGAGTTGATTTCTTAATTTTAGTGAACGTTTGTTCATTACTAGTGCTTTTAATTCGATTGTTGTTACTGTTGCTGTCATTATTTCCGTTGATATTTCTATTGTTATCACTGATACTATCATTACTACTTGCATTATTACAGTTGATAACATCACTATTATTGGTATTACTACTGTTAATGTTACAATTGTTTCCAGTCTTATTTTTACTCTTATTCTTACTTCTATTATTACGGTTATTATTCATGTTGTTATTGTTTGTGCTATTATCGTTGCTATTAGAGTTATCATTAGTATTATTATTATTAATATTATTGTTATTATTATTGTTTTTATGATTATTTTTATTAGTGTTATGGTGACAATTTTTTCTGTTATTGTTTGTTTTCGTAGCATCAATTCTAGTCAGTGATGATGGTTTACCCCTTAACGGAATCTGAGCGGATGAGGACATTCGAGACGATATAAAATCCTCAATCGCCGGCGAGATAATCGTAGAATTATCGTTATCATCAAAGTCAAAGTGATTGAATCGGTATCGATTGTTGCTGTTATTATTACTGTCATGAGAGTTGTTGAAAATGTGATCTTC